CCAAGGCAAAATTTCTCATTTTCATTTATTTTAAGCAATTAACTCATAAAAATTAGAAAACAACAAAATTTGTTTGTTTAAAAATGTAAAACCTTAACTAAAATTAAAATATATTTGGACATTCTGTGCATACAAAAAAATTGTACATTTGCAGGACATATTCTGCTACAGAAATGCATAAACAGTGTAAAGTAGTACAGCACAGTAGTATGCTATTCTCAGACTCAGCTGCAGCACTTAGCTCGCAACATATCTACTCTATAAACTCCATTCCAGCTCCAGAAACATATATTGAAACAGAGTTGTTTTGAGAGACGGCAGCTCACCGGTGTTGGAGCGCTGGATGGGGCAGGGCCTCCCCTGCGGCTGGGGCACAGGGGCCTCGCTCTGGGGCTCCTTCACCCCATCCATGGCCATCAGCACACTGGACAGCTCCTGCAGCGGGACGTTCCCCAGCTCAGACGAGAAGGGGCTCGGCGGGTTCTCCAGACACATCAGCCAGCTGGTGTTACCTCAGAGCAGATTTACAGAGCACGCTTTAAATCATGATCGATGACTCAAACTAATCAAAGTAAAGAAATATATTATAGAAAATACTCTTCTTAGATCAACAGAATATGTACTTTCAGAATCTATTTCCTTAGGTGTATCTTCAAAACATCACATGATGTGACATATTACAGTTGTTAAGAAAACAAATAATGTTATTATTAAGGCTGTCACTAATGATTATTTTGGTGATCAAGTAACTAGTCGATTATTCGGACAATTAATCGAGTAATCGGATAATTATAATTATTTTTTTAGTAATAAAAACAGGCCTAAGCGAACAATAGCCTTTAAAATTACTTTAAATACATATATAATAGGCAATGAGGCAATAATAATTAGTTCAAAAAAAGTATCAAAAGCAAGTAATAATGTGGTTTTATTGAACAAGTCCGTTAAAATACATAATGTATTGTAAACAATTGAGCTAATGTATATTAGGCATTATAACAAATTCGAGTTATAATTTGTTTTTACACTTTAAAGTGTGATCTAATCCTTGTTTAATATTGACTAAACAATATTTAATTCAAATCTCCACTTAATCTTAAATTTTGGCCATTTCTTTACAACAGAAATGCTACAGCCACCGCAATTTCTTGAATATGTGCACATCAAAACCTGTAAACTTAGAGTCAGAGCAAAGTTTAAACTTTTATTTTGAAATCGCGATGAACAGTTAGCATGTTGAAAAAGATATCGATGCATTCTCCAGTGTTTGCGTAGGTTTATAAATGATTTACCTCACAAATCTGATGAAATGGGGCACGTTGCGTTCCCAGATGAATGTTATAATAGACTCAAACATACAAAACAACATGCATAGTGTATGATATGATAACAGTTTGTGTGGAGCAGCATTTACTGTGAACGGAGCCGCGCATGTAAATAAAGCACGTATATTAAACCTGCATCACATATATTTATTTAATTGAATCGTAGCGTTTGTGAATTCACAATAGCATTATGCTTTATTATGATTTTTAAATAGGTTTAATATATCATGTAACCTCGGAAAACGGTCTAATAATGCGTTTCATGGTTTCTTGTCGGTTATTTAAACTAATACGAGCAAAATGCATTCGAGGATTTTTTTTATTGAGTACTCTAATTGAATCGAGAAATCATGACAGCCGTAGTTATTAGTCATTAGGACAACACAAATACATTTATTTTTTATGAAATAATGCAAAATACTGTTGCATGGAAAGCAAAAAATGATGCACACACATACACACACACACATATAACGGATGAGGATCTCGTCATACTGAGACCTCCAGCTGTCTGTTCACACCTCCAGCTATATGCCCATGTACCTATTTAACCAACATCTGCATCAGCACATCACACATCCAGCAAACTCAATTACACAGACACGCTAATGAAACAACCTGACTCCAGGCACCAGAGGCATGTCGGATCTCACCTTATACAGAGAGAGATTAAACAAACAAAGAAAATGTACATTTATGAACATCAATAAATACTTTGTGATTTTATTTTACCTCATTTTTATTTCAAATAATTGATTAATTAGTATTACTTGTTTAGTTGCACCATTTTTTATTAAAGTACTTTTTAGGTGTTTAAAATACTAGCATACACTTTCATAGCATACACAGAAAAAAAGATACAAAAGGTACATCTTTGTACCTAAAGGGTCCATATTGTACCTTAAAGGTGCACATCACATGTTGATACCTAAAAAGTACAAAAATTTACTTTTTGAGAAGGTAATGCCCCAGTGACAGCTTTTGTACCTTTTTTTCTGAGAGTGTACTGGAATTTTATTTATTTTTAGTACAAGTAAAATTATATTTCATTTTATATGCATGTACATTTATAAAATATAAATAAGGAAATAAATAAACATTTGACAGTGTTTTTATTTTAAACCTTTCAATACTTGATTTAATTTAATTAAATTTTTTTATATTATTTATATGTTTATTTGCACTAAAATAAAAATGTGAGGAGGCTACTTCTTCATGTTACGTGTGAAATGGTAAGAAAGAGCTTGAAAACAACAATCAAGAAGACAGACAGGTTACAAAGTGTGATGTCACTTCCTACACAGAATAGAACATTTTGGCTGTTTGGAAACAAATGAAATACATGGATACTGATAAAATGATTTTATTTTTAATACAAGTGAAATAATTTTACATTTTATATAAATTTTATATAAATATATTAATTAAATTAAATATATTATTTAAATATATTACATTTATATAAATGTATTAATAAAATATATAAAATGTACAATAAACACTTTCATTTTATTTAACCTTTTTTTTTTTTTTACACTACTGATAACTTGATTGACTTGACTAATTATTAGCCTATTATTTGACTTTTGACCGTTTCTCATAATATAAACTGTACCAAACTGAACTGAACTCAAAGAAAGAGATTTCAAAAAAAGATACAGAGAAGAAAAATAAAGCACAAAAAAAAGTGGTTCGAAGTGAAGCAATAGCGCTATAAAACTGACTCGTGAAAGAAAGACACAAAAAGTGACAGACAAACACAGAAAGGAACAAAACCACAACAGCAACGCTGTGAAATCCTCAGGAAGCGTATTGAAAAAGCATCTCGTCACGTGTTATTCTTCAAGAAGTGAAGCACTCAAGGACACGTCGCAATTAACGCACAAAAAAAAAGAAAAATCTGTGAAATGCTCCCGAGCTATTCTTCATTTAGAGGCAGATGGAGGAGAAAAGCTGAGGAAATTCGGGCCCGTGGGCACTGCAGGTGTGAGTCAAACTATTATCAAACTTTGGAAATGGCATGGCACCCCCTGCGGGCCGCAAGTGCGCTCATGCGCCTCTCAAACGCCCTTGGAATTGAGTTATTATGATTTAATTAGTGCCTGCACAAATGTGTCATAATTGAGAGCGAGTGGGCGATAATTGCGGCCCGGGACAAGGTTAGGAGGTAAAGCACGCGCTGGTGTGTGGTACCTGAGGGTCTGCGGATGAAGATCTCGGCCCAGCCCTGCGTCAGCATGGGCACAAACTCGGCCAGGCTGGACTTGTCTTTGAGCGGCGCTGAGGACTGCGAGGCGGAGGGCGCCGGGTGCTCCTCCACTCCTCTCTGGGACCCCAGCACCTCCAGCGGGGGGCCCGGCGGGGGCAGCGGCCCGCTGTACTCGCCCTCAGGAGACGCCACCAGAGGACTGAGACTCTGAGCCGGACCGGCCCGCAGAGCGTGACCACCTGGACAGAGAAATCAAGAGGGGCATTTAATGAATTCACTATCTTCCAGTGATATTTTATTACATTTATTATAATATAAAATGTATGTATTATATCCTTTTTTAGTAGTAGTAGTTTTAGTTTTATAACACTTTTTTTATTTAGTTTTAAGTATTACATATCATTATATACCAAGATATTATATATCTTGAATTAGTTTTTATTTTTATAATTTCCCCATTTAATTTAAGTTATTTTTATTTATATATTTTTTTGTCTTTTTTGTTTGTTTTGCAAATGTCTAAATTCATTTAAATTCTATTAATTTTTATTTCATTTTTAGTTTGTTATTTTAGCACTTTAAGGTAAAACAAAAATGAGAAATAAGATGTACAAGTTGTTTTGTATATTTTATGTCAGTTAACATTTGTTTTATTTCAAGTAACAAAAATGGTTTTATGGTTCAGTTCATTTTAGTTGCAATTAGGATAATGACAATTTTATTTAAAGTAACATGCATTTAAGAATTATTCACAACAATAGACCAATTAAATAAATTTTGATTTCATGCTGAATTCATGAAAGATTCTTGTATGATGAACAGAGCAGTGTTATTTTAATATTATTTATATACTATTAGTTTTTATTCATATTTTGAACCAGCTTCTATTTTTATATATTTCCAGTTTTCATTTCAATATTAGTTTAAGTAATTTTGTTGTGTGCTTTTGTTATTGTTATTAGTTTTGATTGTAATATTTTTATTTATTTCATTTTGAGTAAATTTAGTATTTTAAACTTGTTTAAAATGTTAAACAAGTTGTTTCAAATTTAGAACGTTTTTTCAGTTCATTTTGTATTATTATAATGTTAATATTTAATTTTATTATTACTTAAAGGAAATCATTTTTAATAGTTTTAGTTAATAATAATAATGCACTATCAAAGTCATGTGACGCACAAGAACCAATGAGATCTGATGTTACTGACATGTTGCCATATTTGATTTGAGAGTGAATAACCACTTAAATTTCTCTCTGTTCAGACACAGGGACTGAACCACTGTGTTTTTTGGGGGGGGGATTACTTTACACAACCTTTACATACTTTTTGAAGTTTGAAACTTTTGAACCCGACTGACTTTTATAGATTAAAAAAAAACTTCAAAATATCTCCATCTGTCCATAGATAAAAATCATAACATTTTAGAACGACACAAGGGTGAGTAAATGATTACAGAATTAATATTTTGAGTTAACTGTGCCTTTAAGATTTTAATTTCATGTATGACTGCTCATATATCTACTTCAAGCATTCAGATTACAGAAGGCTAGATCGTAATGAAAGAAGTCATTTACATATAGAAGTCTTCAAGGTTACAGAAGCAAGACGAGATTGTTTAATTCAAAGGGTCAGAATGTGGAAAATGGGCCAAAACTCTTCAGAGCAAGAGAAGCTCCGGGTCCGAATAAAGCAGCGGTGTGTGTGTGTGTGTACTGTCACCTGATATGGAGCGGACGCGGGTGCGAGTGCTGCTGCTGATCTGATGGCCCGACTGCGACTCCAGTTTAGCAGGAGCCTCTTTCGTCTGTCGGGTGTGTAATGACGGGTCAGACCTGCAGAACAGTCATATGTGTATTGTTTTGATGTTTTCCCATCTGACTCAGAGCAGTAAACACACTCATATGAAGCTGTTCCTCTTCCTGTCTGTGTCCAAACATTGAGTCTTAATTCATATCTGATAATGCCAAAAGCCATATCTATCTATCTATCTATCTATCTATCTATCTATCTATCT